ACGTACACAATGCGGCAATCACAGTCTGTAAGAAACCGCTATGGTGAGCCAACAGAAGTAAGTCAGTTCTTAAATGGGGAAAAGACAAGCATAAAATCGAGCTATATCGCGACAGCAACTTACCCCCAGTCTCGAATCCACCATTACCAACTTCCCACTGTCTGGCAATACGTCGTAGCAGGTACTATTCGGAAACAGAGTGCTGAACACGTGGTCTTCGTCTGGAAGAGAAAGCAACAATCGATCACAAACAATCGAGGCAAATACATGACGACTTGTCCCGAAGAGGATAATTCAAGGCGAAATATATGCATATTGACAATGACCAATGAACTGTGATCGCCTTTCGGTACATAGCTACCGTACATGAATAACAATGCACTATCAGGTTTTCCAAGCCTGGACAAGAACAGTCGAGAAGCCGGGGTCGGGTTTGAACCAGAGAACACGCTATCGGCAGATCGAGCCGTCTAGACCTCTACTAAATGCGTATAAGGCTTGGGCCTGACAGATACGGCAATGTCACGCAGCCAATGGTGATCCTGCATCAAAGCTATCGCCTTCAATGCGCAGCTCCCCCACACCGGAAAAACAGAAGCATTTAACATCGGCTGGGCCATCGCCTCCAACGAGTGGCTGTCATTCTCTTATTCTCATTCTCCTAGGTGAACGAAACTGTGGCAGCCGGATCCATTTTCTAACTGACCGACTGAGCAAACCTGGGGTGTATGCAAATATGAAAGATGGGTTAATCGATTCGGCCGATCAGATTCGGCATGACTCGTTCTGAATCTGTAGAAGCCGCCACATGTCCTCCCACTCTCTCTGAAGTCCACAGTTCTTTCACGCTTGGGTTGGTAAACAGTGTGTGAGGCAGTGCGAGAAACATGTTCAACTGAACAGTCACTAGCCCAATTATATCGACCAGCTACTGGAGATGTATCTACCTGAATAAGTTCCACGGAAGTGACGTATTCGACCTCAGGTATTCAACCCAGGTAAGTCTACCTCAGAGGCATCAAGCCATTATGTACACATCGATCCAGCCTACAAACACTACCGTTATCGATCTACAGTACGGTATTCGATCGCCCACATGTGCTACTGAAAAACAGATACGTTTCCATAGGCCTTGGAAAAAACGAAATTCAGTTTACTATTACAAAAACATCGCCCAGTATAAACACATCGTTTCCGTTTGAAAACTGTCACGAAGCACACACGAGTGAAACAAAGAAACAATGATTCACCTCAGCTATTCAAGGCAAATCAAATCGAACCTTGAATCACACTGGGACGAGACAAAATAGCTCACGGCCATTCTTTGTCGCCAACATGTTTTGACACCCAACTCGAACGCTTACGAAAATTTATCTGAATGGCTATCCTATGAAACTTAGTCATCAACAGGAGCGCGATTCGCACAATCTTCTCAGCTTTATAACATGACGGTGGTGACCGCCATTGAACGAATTCACTTTGCGTCCCGCGAAGGAGCGTCGTCAGGCAGTCTTGTCACGACGCGCAGAGAGGTCATGAGAGGTCTACAAAGAACAAGATTGTATCGTGATGCTTCACCCAACACTAGATAGCCTCCCAGTCTGATTACAACCAATATTTTGTAGTATTTTGTCCTGATCTCCGACCCTGACCCCCTTGGTGTCAGCTGGTCCTTCAGTTTCGCAGTAAAGCGACCGGTGTGTAGTACATTTCTGCAAGGTGTACAGCGAACAGGACGAGAAAACAAAGCATTGAAAATGATACTGGTTGCGACTTACCAAACTGGCCAAAGGAGCAAGAAATAGACTCTTCTTTCGACTGTGAAAAATGAAAACGATGGCCGTTTAAGGGAGTAACAATAACAAATTTTGAATGGAAAAGTAGCCGGATATTCACTGGGATCAGAAAGGTCGTACTCCGATATAAATACCAGAATGTTTCTATGTGAAACTAATATGTTCCAAGGAGGGAGACACAGCCAAGAATTTCATACACCCTGTTCTATCTAGACGTGAAAAAGAAATGGGCGAGAATTTGCCAGTCATTCTGCCGATTTCTCAATTTCTTCTAACTGACTGAAAAAATCAGAGACCAGATTCGAACGGAACTAAGAAGTCGAACTTACATCGGAATGCGATTTGCTGATAACAAGAAGCCGTTCCGACTCGGACGCCCTTCTGATTCGAACACCAGCGCGTGCTGAGCAGACACTCGAAGCGAAAACCTGTTGCCGGTTTGTAGCTGGAGAAGGAGAAATCAGACAGAGACAAGGAGTCAATCCCTGCATAGGTTGGAGCGCGAAAAGTAAAAAAAAATCAAACCGTCTACCTGCCTACCTGCAAGAATATCAACTGCACCTTGGAATTCTTCCACCGCGGAACAACTGAGACGTGCGCACCCACTGGCAGTACCGAAAAACCCGTCAGAGGACTCGCATCCACTCTCTTCACCATGTGATTGGCTCAACTGCAAGAGATGGAAAAGTCAGAATTGCGTGAATCGGATTCAATCGTACGGGAACCAGGAAAACCTAGCATTCCAGTCCTGGTATGGGATGAAATCCCGTTCAAATGAAAGTACAATGTCTAAAAGCCTTGAAACCGACAGGCGATCAGCACAGATTCCAAACCGTAGTCTTTACAGTCAACATCTTCAGCGCTCACACCTCGTTTGGTTCGGGTGGGGAGTTACACACGGACGCAAAATGAGGCATACTATTAGTCTCTGTAACGTCGTTTCCAACGCAAGTGAACTCAGCTACATCAGCAGAAGCATGTACGACTTCCATCGTCGAAATTCGCACCAGCCCTGTGCGAACAAATGAATAGCCCTACTTCAACACTTCTCATATAAAGGAAGACTTGTCTGGACAGTGCACCGTCCGTTTCTCACTTCTTTACACTAATCAGGTAGGCTTCGTCCCTGAATCTCCGTTAACTTCCAACTTGAACACCAAGCTGTGCGTGTGTTGCATTGTACATTCATTCGCAACTTAACCAGGTGCTGACGGGAGAATCCTGGATCTTTCATTCCTCGTGTTGCAGCGTTCTGACAACGAAACTAGGTATCAACTGTTTCGAACCTGACTGTTCCGGTGGTCAACCTACCCAGGCAGGTTGTATTACATGAGAAAAAAACATCAGAAAACGCACTGGTTTTTGTCTAGACCTAACATAATACTCATAAGATTGCTGGAAAGTCTTGACAACCCACGACCAGTTTCGTCTTTCTTCGAGCTCATCAGGTAGGCACAGTCCCTCAACCGTATGTTGTACTTAAAACTAAACTGCACGAAATTTGTCAACCACAGTCGTTTGTACACAAATCTCTCGCCAATGATGGCCCACCAAATTCGTGTGCACTTATCGATACACTGATTTTTGTTATTGTTGCCACCGATGAGCTGGACGAGAGTTTGTTGTCACAATTTATTGGACCAAAGCATCGTCAAAACTGTCGAGGAGGAGTAAAGCGTTAGTTACATTTACATATGGTCAGGTGTGACTTCGAGACAAAGCGAGTTCAGTTTACACGCTGTGCCACTAAAAACCACTGCTATGCATCACCGCTGAATACCTGCGTTGGTGCCAATCAAGCTGAGTTCGTTAGGGTAGCATGTGATCGAACGCACCTCTCTATCTGTTCCGGTCATCAGGTGACACGAAACATACCTGGACCAAAATAAACTGTGTTGGCAACAACGGCATTTTGCATAATCCAGGGGCCGTACCTGGTCGATATCTGTACGCATTGCCGCTGATTCGATCCGGTGAAGCCTAGCGCGCGTACTTTGTAGTGTACTACTCATAAGGTTGCTGAAAATCCATCCTGAGAACATCATAAACGAGAGATTCAGCTGGGTTCCAGGTGAGTCCCTCGAAAGAACCAAATTAGTTTGCAAATGAGTGTATATTCCCTAGCGCGTACTCTTTGTGCAAGTATTCGTCAGGCTACATCGTGTCCCGAACCTTGGGAGTTCCCACAGGACAGGTTCCCACACTAATCGACATCCGGCGCGTAAACCACGCGTTTCAGACTCTGCGTATTGCATGAGTCAGTCTGTTCTGAGTTGATTTGTTCGTCGCAGACAACTTCAGGGATTCCACTCAAAATCCAGCAACACTGCGTGTGTGTCCGTGTATTCTGCCCCGGCGCAAGCAATCCTAGCAGCGAAATCTAGCTTATGACACGACAAAGGCAGACAGGAGGCGCAAGTTTGCGGGCAATAGTCTAGTGTCATTGTCAAATACGTCTCACCGATGGCAGTACCTTGAATTATTCATACAAATACAGAAATTTATTCATTCAAAAGGCGTTTGACTCAAGCTGGCTACACAAGCAAGGTCTTTGAAGACTAGGATTGAAAATCTTCGTTACCAAGTTAACGATAAATAATAACAGTCGTTCGATTGGAGTATTTTTTCGGTGCGTAGCCACTATACTACCCGGCGGAAGCATAAGGGTTGAGATACTCCCAAGCCTAGAATGGAGCAGTCGAGATGACGGGGTTGGATTCGACGACCGACCTTCCGGTCAGTGAATTTGAGCCCTGGTCACTGAGCTATCTCCTGGATGTTCCAAGAGGCTACTTTGCTTACGAACCAGAGAGAGGCAAACACTCTCAATTGATGCCTATCCCATCTTTCCGGGCTGAGATAACGAGAGCGTTTGAAAATGAACCGAATTTGCTGGACTAACATCCTCGGTTATCCTGACCAGGTTGGGTATCAGTTTGGAGTCTGATATCGGACCATCCGGAATCCCGTTTATGGGATTCAGCCAACTCACAGTTCATGTTTTGGGCTACAGAATCGTCGCGTGCATGTCTAGGAATATTTTCGACACTGTTGTCCAATCACAGCAAAACGGCTATTGTTCATCATCCCATCGCTCTAAACCGTTGTGCGAATAGACAATAATGCTGTGTTACAACACAGAGATCCAGCAACCAAAATCAGAGTCAAAACTGGAGTAGTGCTCCCCATAACATAAGCTTCCCCAGGAGAGATTACTCTCCTACTCGTTTGATGATGGGATTACTGGAAACTATTTGCCGTTGCTTGATATGAGAAAATCCCCAGTGCAATCATGTTTGTCTACCTAATTGTTGGCACAACCAGGAAGAGCCGAATACGATGAGTTCCATAAACAAGAAAACAGAGTTTCTTTTAGGAAAACACGTCATAAGGAGAGTTCTCGACTTTTCTTTCTATGCTGTAACCATATGTGTTCATGGAGAGTGAATCCACTCAGTTGATTCGGACAATCGTCGAATTCATTACCCACCCACCCCCAATTACCAAAGCCTTCTTACTCTCTGATTGAATCCATTTAGAAGTTAAAAAGTCGTGAAGTGGTTTGTTACGAACCAATGTGTACGCACTTTCAGATGTTTGTTTACGCAACCGTACACAAACCCCTTTAGTTTAGCTTTCCAGACACACAGTAATCAGTCGACGTCAATCTGTCAAACAACAAGCCTTGCATTATCCAATGTGAAACAGGTTCGTGTTAGAAAGAGGTCACCTCTCGAAGACTGATTGCCGATAGTTGCGATGCGGGGGAGGAACTCGTTCGTTCGTCTTGCAGACAGGTTAGTGACGGAGTGCTGTATGAAGGCGCGCAAGATTCGATCAGCACTTCGAAAACACAGACTGAGAGTCATGATAACACTTAAGTGGTGGGAATGTAATCCAAATATCAGTAGCGTCGCGGCCGGGCCACTGTCTTGGCGCAATAAACGCTGTCTACGTGCGACTGAAGGGAGTCCCACACTCAAACGTATGCTATCGTCCAAATTCCAGTTAGGAGGATTCACAGGGTAGACGGAAAGCCAGCATGATTATCACATTTTCTGACGAATTTTCCACGGTCCCTTTTTTTGACAAAACTACTTTCTGGACTCAATACCAAAAATAAGAAAAGTTTGGTGGCAGCTGTTGTGTACAACTCGGGGTTTTAGCAGTCTAGGTGTACTCAGTTCGTCGTACTGCGGTCCTGGACTGTCTAAATCTCTGTAATTCAATCAATTTATCAGCTATAAACTGTGGGCTATAGGCACATTGGTTTCGATCGCCGGAAAATGGGAAAGTGGAATATACAACCAAGCCTTGGAGGCGCAGATCCGTCGACTGAATGATACTGGGCACCACAGCAGTGATGTAAATTGGGTCGGATCAATTGGGATCTGTCGTGCTTTTAGTAAAAAAATGATATGATTCGGACATTGACGTCGATATGTAAGGTCAATCAACTAGGTTCGATAGATCGATTAGAGCTTACCGACTGGACACTCTTTGATCAGCCAAAAACCCTACAACGTTCCCATATGAATCCGAAGGTTTACCCAAGGAGATGGATGATACTTTGGTTGCCTCAAGCCTCCGCATCCCTTAGGAACTCTTAGCAATATGATGTCGGGGTCAACTTACTGTTGACTGTTCGGTTTCAAACACCCGCACCATTTTGAACTTCGACTGTTAACCATCTCAATGTCTCTTAAACTGAAAGCATATCATACCCAGTTAGGAAGTGCAGTCAGCACGCTGCGAAATTTCGTTCTGATGGAACGGACTGAATGTTTTGACTCCAGGGTTAGTCAGTCCCTTCAGGAACATTATCGACCTCGTCTTATTCGTTGAGTGTCACTCAGTCCACTTCATCCTTGATTTCACTCACACACTCCAAACTAAACGAGGACACTGGTACACAGACAAAACATTCTATACCTCAGGGATTTCTTCGTTGCTGTTTTCGTCAGATTGGGCACAGGGTGCTGGAAGGTTATCGACATGTTTTATTTTACCTTTTGTCTGCTGATCAGTGCTCAGTACCTGAAGTTTTGTCTGCTGATCAGTGCTCAGTACCTGTTATTTAGTTAAAACAGATCGCAGAGGCTAAAGGGGCTGTAGTTATACACTGGACACTGACATCCGAGATTAAAGCTGACCAGAACAGGGGAAGGAGTATCACTCATTCGGCACAGAGTTGCGGCGACTGAATGATACTAGATCAGATGCGAAGATACCTGTATTTAGTGGCCATTGCTGAGTAGAACTCATCGCATACCTTGGAGTTCTTGTCATATCTATATGGTCGGTTGAACAACAAGGTTTCCAAGATCTACTTCGACGATATCAGCATTTATTTGGGTGACGGATACAATCCTGTGATAAACACGTACTTGTCGTACAGTGGTTGTAGCTGCCACGGTTTCGTTCACCGATGCTTCGGGGAGATGGGGTAAGTAGCTGTGCATTGTAGGCGGGAGCTGATAAATTAGTGCGTAAATACAGCACTGTCAGTGGACTGTTAAGTGGGGGTTTTGGAAAGGAGCTATGCATTGAAGGCAATAGTTTGGATGCAAGAGCACCATTGAGGGCGCGACTGGGCCATGTCTGACAATGTCTCCAACCATTCATGTGGACCGTCTCGGGGTCCCCATCCAGGAAGACGGCAGTGACTAGCGCAGCTGAGTTTGCTGGTAATGGATTTCACACTTCGCTGCCAGGTCATTGTTTGATCGTCTCTGGCTCTCTTCCACCCTTCACGTGATTGTGCGAAAAGAGCCCTTCGGGGAAATCGGTCGACTGGCATACACAGAGCCAGAGCAACCTATTCAGTGTGATCAGTTCATCTATCGACGGTAAGTTATTTCTCCCAAATACCATTCGACGAACTTCAGCACTGCTGGTCTGGTGTTCCATGCTAAGTAGGTTTGTATGAGCTGCTGGGTTTCAATCAGCGTTCTGTCGCCTGGATGTTTACCCTAGGGGGAAATTTGGGACCGACGAAAATCGTTCTTTCGTGCAAGGATTGCTCTCTAAAAAAGAATAACCGTACGAAGTGGAGGTCTTTCTTCGACCTTCCAACCACTGAGTCTCCCCTAAAGGGTACACCGCGTCTGAGAGAAGGTCCAAACAGTAACCTGTTGAGCGGTGACCTGTATGGCTGAATTCAAAACTGTGCAGCAACCCTAATGTGCTACTGGGAGAATAAACGTAACTCCAGGGTGTTATGCACAAGGAACTATGCAGGCAACTTAGTACCACCATCTGTCCTACCCGGACTGGCTTCGCAAAGCCCGGCAGAATTGAGTTGCCAATGCTGAGGCAAATCCTGACAGCCTAACAAGTGAATTCTTTTCGCTCAACCATGCTAGGAAGCCGAGTAAAGGCATTTGTCAACTGAGCGCCTAAACGTGATGGAGGATACTAAACAGTTGTTCTGGTGAGTTTGCTCAAGCTATTCGTTGACGGTCGTTGAGTTGAATACATTCCAACCAGACACCAGACGCTGGAGTATTCCATGAAAAATAAAATAGAATTACTGATGGGGTAGAAGGCTTTGAATGCTACCGCCTGCAATGCGCAGCTGTGGAGTTCATCTCCCCAGACCATCGGTGAACAAAATTGTGGCAGCTGTGCGGTGAGTGGGCGGTTCTTACAGCTGATGATGATGTCACAGGAGGAAGGCCGCTAGAAATCTGAGGAAGTCTCCGACGGCACAGCACCCTAAAAATGAACTATGCTCACCAACGGGACTGGGAAGCATGAATCGCAACAATGCGTTCGGTCAGCGCAAGCGTTCGAGCTTAATTCGTCTTGATGAATCATCTTTAAACTTTAGAACACGTCCGGTGGAGTTTAAAAATGACGGAGAAGGTATGCTTCACTTCTTTATTGATGAAACAGCAAAGCCGGCAGCCACCATGAAGGCATTCATACAGGGATTCGAACCAAGGTTGTTGAAACCAAAGTCTGTGAATGAATCCGCCGGGCTACCCGGGATAAATGGGGGAATTCGGAATTCTTCATAATTAACAGAGAGCCCTTTACGGTGGAGAGAGACTTGTCACTCTAAAGGGGAATCACTCGACAAATTTCGTGATCAGCGGATTTCAGCCCGATTGTTCAAATGCCCTCCAGGGGGAGACCACTGCGTATCACTTTGAAAAGCATTAGGACCCTACATTAGTCTTTAACCATACGGAGAAAATAACGGTTTATCAGAATATCAAAATAACCAGATACTGCGAAACTTACCCATCGAACTCGGTGTAGCTGTTTGCGGTGTCTCCATGAGGACGCTTTCAGTACAGGTGAAATATGAGACCCGTGGATACTGAGCATCGGAATCGGTTGAGAACTGGAAGGCAAAGTGTGGTTGATCACCGGAGAATTTAAGGGCTTCTTGGAGAACTGCAAACAAGCACTAGCAGGTCCGTGTATTTTAGGCAGCCGTCTGGGATCAATCGTGTCAGGGAGGTTGGATCCATTCGGAAGTGTTTCTATCGACCGATTGGAGTCGCCCGGACGTACTGCAACATGTTTGCGTCCATTCGGTGTGGCACTGCGTAAATCAGCCTGGTCTGTGTTGAGATGAGTGGAATTTGACCGCAGACGTCCTAGCAGATCTCGAGCCCACTGAGCTCCGTGCTTAACGCTGTTTCGGCTGTCGGACTTGCCGTTCGCCGCGTCCCGCTCGCAATCAAGGGGATCTTCTTCCACTGACGAATGATTAAACTTGTACAAACGAGAAGCCTGCCAAAGGGATAGACACGTCACATAGATGGTGATTAGGTAAACCCAGTGTCACTTTCCGCTGAAAAGAGAAACACAGGGCTGGTTACATACGACAGGTCATCATGGGTCTCACAAACTACCGTGCTAATTCCGAGCTACCTTTACTGAGCCAACCCCCGCATAATGGTGAGATGTTTCCAGACATTATCACAGAGTCATACGGATTTAACACCATCAAATCTATCCGGCTTGTTGATCAAAGACCCAACTCTGGATTTGTCTCCACATGTACCATCGTGTGAGGAACAATTTGGAGTCCCCGGTGAAAATTGGGTCAAATAAAATTGTTCCATGAATATAGACCGTCAGTCGGATTTGCAATCACTCTCGTGGCACTTTGGATATTGGTACTAAGGCGGCCGACTGCATAAGCTGGGCAAACTGGTTCGATGTAAAATCTAGAAAGGAAGAAAGAAACGTTCAGCTGTAGCACTCTTCAGGTGCCTAACTGCCACCCACCCGAAGNGACTGGGATAATGCCAGGTTGCCCAAGCCTAGACGGAGGAAGTCAAGAGGCAGAGGTCGGCTTCGAACCACGGACCTTCCGGTCAGTAAATTCGCGCTCTAACCAGTTGGGCCACCTTGTGAAATCTATTGGCGACTGAAATCCTATCCAAGCAATATCACATTTCCATCTTCAAAAAGTCGAGGCCACGTCATGTGACACAAACCGATTGATGTGCTCTTTCAGTTTTCATCCTATTTTAAATGGCCAATATTTTAGCCTGAAACCTGATCAGTATACTAAATTTCGGACTCCGGTAGTTGCACGAAACCTGACTAAATGAAGTGGCCTGATTCCCGGCCGTGTTGTTCGGCCCCAGATAATCCACGAAGACATACTTGATCGGAAAGTCTGGGATTCGAACTCACTCATGATCTATTGAGAGGTGGAATTCCGTGCTGTAGCTGAGATATACAGACCCTCTGCAAAGATGTTTCAGCCCCGGATAGGAGCTCAAATACTAGGATTCGGTGGTAGGTGTAGCGGTGTGCCTGCCTGCACTCACACACACCTTTCAATCATGCAGTTCACGTCAGGTTATGCTGTGTCGGCTGGCTCATCGAGTAAGAATTAGTCATGGGATTCGAACTCACTCATGATCTATTGAAGTGTGGGATTCCGTGCTGCATACAGAACCTCTGCAAAGATGTTTCAACCCTGGCTAGGAGTTCGAATATTAGGATTCGGTGGTAGGTGTAGCGGTGTGCCAGCCTGCATTCATATCGGAGACAGCTTCGCACACCTTTCAATCATGCAGTTCACGTTAGGTTATCCGATGTCGGCTGGCTCATCGACTGAGAATCAGTCAGAGTGTAGTAACGGTATTTTTTTCGGCTTAGTTCTCGGTCTGAGCGTCCCAAGCTAACGTTCACGTCAAAAACAACCACCAAAGGTGCACAAGGTACACAAACGCTCAAAACGAAGTCAGGAACACTTGTACACCGCTTTATATATAAAGCGGTAATAACATTCTGGAAATTCTGACGCGTTCTGGACGCGCCATTGGCAACTGGCATTCGGACAATAATGGGTCATGATTGGCTTTGGGATCCAGACTTTCGACCAATCAGATATCGGCTTGACGCCGGGCCGGCAAGCGTCCTGAATTTTTGGCCAATCTTATGTGGGATGGGCTTCTCCACCGTAGCAACACCTGACTGCGAGCGGTAAAGTAAGATCCATGTGGAATTCCGCCTAACACAGAGGGAGGTTGATTTTGTTTGTTTCCAAAGCGGTTGTATGACAGGTAAGTACCAGCTGAATACAATGACAGGTGGATCGCCTCTGAACGCAGTCGTACTGACCACAAAGACAGTTATAATAACACGCGTGGGGAAAGAACTACCCAGGAAGCTTTCTGTTAGATGCTTGCTGAAAGCGAAGGGAGAAGAACATCAAACGAGGCTGACACGCCACTTATGGGACATTTGTTAGGGGCTGCATCTGCAGTACCAGTTGGCCTTGGTTGGAGTCTGTGAGTAGACAGGATACGGATGACTATCAAACAAAACAGTTCTTTCGGTCGTTGGCGCATTTACCCGATTTTTGAAACTACCTTCACAAGCTGGCTCCTTTCGGTTCGTTATCAGGCTATTTTCTGTTGACTAAGACATATTCGCCAAGAGAAGCAGTGAACAGGAGTTCCTCAGCAATGGGCCCGATCTTTCAGAAGCTTTTCTCAGAAATTAGGAGGATGCCTTGATTCGATACTCAAGAAATTCGCAGCCGATCATAGCGAGGCGATTGGAAACTGAACTGTGCTTCCATAGGCACAAAACTCTTCGGTGTAGAGTAGATGGCTGGCGTAGCCAGTCGTCGAGGTAGAGAACTGTCACGTTATTACTTCTTCCAATCCTATATCAAGTGCAAGTAAACACCTACAGATGGCGTGAACGGGGTCATATGATGAACGTGCGCATGATACAGATAACTGACACCCTACTCACATCTCGGTCATGTGACAGGTATACACTCATGTGTCCGTAGATGGGTGTATGGCACGCAAAAAAACATGTGAAATCCAATATGAACATATCCAGTGGACTGGTGAGGATGGTGGTGTCGGAAATGGAGAGCACATAAGACAAGTCCGTCATACCAACACCAAAGCGGATCTCCCGTTGCTCCGAAACCACACCTTTCTTTATGGGAAAATAGCGTCACACGAACCCCTAACACCGTCCCTCAATGGACGCGATGAACACACATAAACTGTTCAGCCGTAACACCCTTACGGTGCCTAGCTGCTATGCCACCCGAAGTTTGCATGAGGGTTGGGATACTGCCACGTTGTCCAAGCCTAGACAGAGGCTGAGGCCGGATTCGAACCACGAACCTTCCGGTCAGTAAATTCGCGTTCTAACCACTTGAGCCATCTCGCCCCCGATGCATACACACGATTTCAGCGTATCGTGGAACAGTAAGCTCCGTGTGTTAACATCAGTCGAAGGACAATTTATGACCAGTAGAAAAAGTAGGGTATTTGTCCGCCTGGATGACCAGTGGTAAAAGGTTGAACGATCGATACAAGCATATACCTTGCTGTCATGGCTTGTCATTCACCGACTTACCGTGCGGCTCCATTTGACACATAGTGATACTGCCCAGTCGCGCCCTCAGTGGTGCTCATGCATTCAAGCTATTGCCTTCAATGCATAGCTCCCTTCCCAGTCCCCCCACTTGACAGTGCCGTATTTATGCACTAATTTATCAGCTCACGCCTCCAACGCGCGGCTACCTACCCTACCTCCCCGAATCATCGGTGAACGGAACTGTGGCAGCTACAACCACTGTACGACAAGTACACGGTTATGACGATGATGATGGTACGCGATTAGGAAAGTGCAACTAACACAAGCCGAAAAACTCTAACACAGAAAAAATCAACTGAGTTATGTCCTATTCAGAATGACCGGGCGATATCTCATCACACAGTGCTTTCAAACACCCACAGAAACCTGATACGCGGTGCACAAACCGGTTCCTTCTCAAAGGAGTTTGATGAGCCGCAAATGTTGATAGCGAAACCGGTTAATATGATGTGTACGTCGCGCCAGGTGCGCGCTAACGCACGAAGCAGAAGATGAATACAAAAAACGCATTGCACTAGTGCATCTAAAATTCGAAACAATGTGTGCTGTATGAATGTTAGATTTATGGACTCTTCGAGACCTAAAGGCCACGCATTTACTTGAGACCGTTTTTTATAACATGCTAGGGCATGCAGACTATAGGAAAATTCTCGGTACCCATCAGTCTAGTAATAAGATTTTCCAACTGTTCCTGGCATCGTTCGAAAGTTCCGAATTTGTCCACACTAACCATTTGACAACGCTGTCGGCACGTGTCGATTCGGTCCCGTACGAACGGATTTGGGCTAGACAAACAACGTCCACCTAGTTTGCAGTCCCAAGTAAACGGCTAGACAACTCACTTTTTTTTAACTGGGTATGCACCGATCGTGCGCTTTTAGGCTGCAATTAAGCAGTATTTGTACTCACAATATCCACAAAAAACGCACCGGTTGTTCCAACTTGTCTCATCGTACGTTCGGGCAGACAGGGCAAGTGAGCGCCTGGACCAACTGCCTGTCGCGCTGGTTTGAACTTGTTACGCGAGGTTTGCTTGTTTCTTTGACCGACGCTTTTACACTAGCCTTACTGTTAACCCAAGGGAAACTACTCGCAGAGGGATTACCCAAACCGTCTTGTCCCAACGATGTGCGCAAAAATCGTGGGTGTGCATGTGCATTGATTTGGTCAGAGACGCACGTAGTTACCCAGTTGGGGTTTTGTGCGCCACCTCCACAAGAACAGCTTCAGTTCCAGACTAACAACAAGTTTGAAGGAAAGAGTTGAGTGCGAACACGAGAGAACAACTGTGCAACATCTGACCTAGTCCAGAGGACGATGTTAGAAAATTAAGGGTTTATCCGGCCACTAGATTACTCAGAAAAACAGTTCAATGACCAAATGGATTCGGACGAATGACTCAACCTGGCTTATCGCGGATCATGTCACAGAAATTGAGTAAGCTAACAAAACAATATTTACATAAGCAGCCCTGGCGTCCGCGGCCTCCAGATGCACCCGAGCTTCCACGTGAAGTAAGGTCTCGGAGACAAAGTGGCAAGCACAACACGGGGATACCTTCCTTCTGGTTCCAGATCCATTGCTTTGTGCTGGATCGCTGACACGTTTACATGGTTGTCGGGCGCCAACATTCCCCCCTGCAAAAGAGAGATAGAGAGATGGTAATACAAGTTGGAAGAGGAATAAAAACACTCCAGTGAGGGATTTGAAGTTTAAATTGTCTGACATTCCGAATTGCCAAATGTAAATGGAGAGGCTCTCGTGTACATCGAAGAGCTTGGTTACCGACTCCTATCACTTTGTGTGGATTGACCTGGAGTGGAAGGACCGGCATCAAACGGTTTTTCGTCATCTTCACGCAAACAGGGAACAGCGGTCTGTAGTTGAAATGCGGCGACTGTATTCACGGCACAAATAGCAAGTAATACACCAGCCGAAAGAAGTACACGANATGTGAAAGCAGGCTGTACACATGCCTGTGTAGACTTGCGCACACTCTCGTCCACTCTCTTTGGTTACTTCATTGGAGGCCTTAGGCGACATCACCTAATCGAGTCTTCAAAACGTACACCAGTACGTCGATCATATGCTTCAATCGAGAATTCAAACCGTGTGTTATGCCAAATGGACTTTTTCGATAAAGAGACCAAGGCCAATTGCACTAGCGAGCGTTAATTGCATCCTGTGTCCTGGAAAAAAGGGACCCTCCCGCGATAGATGAATTGCTCACGCTTCATAGGTTGCGCTGGTAGGCGCATGTAGTCCGCATTCCAGAAGACCGTCGCTCTTTTCGCCCAGCCCTGCGCTGAGTCGAAGCGACCGAGAGATGGACAGTGTATGACGTGGCAACGGAGTAAGAAAACATTGACCAGTAAACTAAGTCGGGCGGGCAATTGCCGCCTCTCTGGATGGGGACCCCGGGACACCAGTGGTTAATGACATTGGCGGAAATGGCCCAACCGCGCAGTCAGTGGCGCTCATGCATTAAAGCTATCGCCTTCAATGCGTAGCTACCCAATGTCCGAACAAACTAAACATGCCTTCGCCTCCAAGGCTTGGTTGGGTGTCTCACTCTCCCGTTTTCCGGTGATCGAAACTGTAGCAGCTGGCACCAATGCGCCTATGGTACACAGCTCTATAGTTGATAAATTGGAATCGAATTAAATTGTGTGCAAGCTCTCGGACTGATTCTGCACTGATCCGATGGGGGTTGAGTTCGCCAGCTCCAAATTCTGTGTAGATAGTGAGCTGACGGTCACGAAAAAATCTGAGAGTATGACTTTCAAATGACATCAACCGACGTACGCCAGAATAGAGTCCAATCGATTCAATTCACCGGAGAATCAGTCAAATTGTCTATAGATTATCGGTACCAGCGCCCCAAGAGTCGACGAATCAAGAGATTCAGGCTTGGCAACCGAAAAAGATACACTCCGTTTTTTATTGTGTCTGTAGCCACAACACGACCTTGAACGAAACAGTCCAGCTAGGCAGGGTGACAAGAGACCGCGTGACAACCTGCGTTGGAATGACTGACCGAAGCTTATGAGCATTTTTAACGAGTCGTTAACGCCTTTGCTAATAATTTAAAATAATGGATGTCCGCAGACCAACACGTAGGAATAATCAGCGAAATACACCAATTTGGTTTTGACGGGAGCCTCACCTGGAACCAACGGAATCTCTCACTTGTGATGTTTTTGAGCAACTGAATGTTCTGTGCCTGGCCGCCTCATTCACGAGAGATTCAGCTGGGTTCCAGATGAGTCTCCAGTCAAAACAGAATTGGTATGCAATTGGGTGCATTTCGCTAATTTCGTGTAATTTGGGTTCGAGTAGAACATAAGGTTGATGGAAGCTCGAGAACTGCGCCTACTTGATGAACCGACCCCAATAAGTGTAAAACCGGCCATGGATATTGAAGGGTTTTCAGCAACCTTATGAGTAGTGTATTACGTCTATGCGGGTAGGAATAGTCTTTCGAGACGCACTTTCACCCACAAGTGCAAACCAAGTTGTTAAATAAAGGTAAGCCACGGACGATAAGAAGGAATGGAAAACACGCGGCCAGCAGGAGAACGCTGGAAGTATCGACCAACCTGGCAACTTCACTTCAAAGAGCTGTACTTGGTTTTCAACAGAAATTCTTGGTTCTCCTGCCATAAATATGGGAGATATGTAAGAGACTTCTCAAGGGTATGAGGCGACTTTGGAAAGACTAATGCTCGGGGCTATTGAATCCTTGTCTCCCTAAGCTTAGTCGAATTGGAGAGGTAGAGACAGCTGGATTGATTCCCAGTGAAACGCGCATTTCTCTCTTATGCTGAGACCGAGTAGAATGAGTGTGCTCACCATTTCACTTGCATCTACACAGCAAACCGGTACAAGTTGATAAGCTAATACTTACACACTCTAGTAGTATTGAGACAGTGGGGGTGAATGAACAAGCAGATTTGTCCATGACCTTGGACTAGAATATCCGTCACCCGGAGGAAAAAAGATCCGGGGCATTGAGACAACGAGTAAATCACGACTAACCACGGTAGCGAATAAGCGAGCGCAAATTGTTGGACAGATACACTTGAGTACAAAAACAGACAACTGGGAGCCCAAAGCACAACACTGATTTACCATAGATTAGGTCGGATTTCAGGTTTCAACCTGTACGTTGTCAGCCTGTAGCCACCCGGTCACCCATATACTTGACTATTCAGCTCACAGTCGCTCACTGGATCGCGAGGCTTGTCTTTTTTCTCATGCCCACAACCACGTCACATTAAGGTGACTCATCAGACGTCGATTTTCTGCACGGCCTAGTGAGCGTAGCAGCTACTCATGTGCTGACACACCCACGTACACGCAAATGGACCTACATATAGGGAAACCGAACCCAGTCAGCACACACAGACGCGCGCGCGCGCAGGGAGCAAGGAGTCAGCCAAACACTCCAAGTCCACGGACAATTATGGAACACGTGTAGCAGCCAAACTGCGGAGAAAACACATTCCCGCCGTCCGGACTTTCACCAAGGGACTCTCGCATACGACAAGTTCCCTTTTGACTTTCTCCACATTTTATATTGCCTTTATTCCACACATGCTGCAAGTCGTTTCTGTAAACTAATGTAAAGACTGTTATTAGTGCATATACCTTCTGATTTGTATTATGGCTATCACCACCTGTGCACTAATAACCCCACACCGAATCATCACTCTGAGTAATCTCTAAGGCGATTCGAACCCGTGACCTAGTTAGTAGCTGAAAATCCTACCATTCAATCATACGTGGCTGGTCAGCATTGTGATCAAAATGCACCCAAACAGGATGTAATACTATCACATTTCAATTCCCCAGTTCATGTCATATGATCCGGTGTTACCCAGTTCGTCGAACGACCAGTACTTGGACGGGAAACCTATCCGACTGGTGTGGAATATTCTCTAATCTGAGCAGCTTACTTACAGTTTGTGGGTAGTAAAGATGGCGAATTTTCAATTCGATCCCGCAAGTAGAGTCAGCCAATCACAAACCAGTGGGCTGGTGCGAATCGCATATTTCAGTTGACCGAGAATCAAAGTAACAAGGGTGTGCGCCAGATACACAGAACACGAGTCAGCACTGTACCGCGTGACCTCCAAGCAAACTGTGTGTGATTCCGGAAAATTCCGAAACGTGCTGTGGGTTATGTTTGCTTCAAATTTGACAGCCACCCACAGAGGGTGGAGTCTGGCTGCGAACGCTGAGGGCACTAAGGACATTTGTTTCGAGTGTGCATCGAAAGTGTAATTTGAGTTCGCTCGAACTGCCAGATAGGAATGAAGATCCAAAGTTCAAAATCCACCCTCATCGTTTGGCTACTCCAGTCTAAGGTTGAGTAGTCTAAGCAACAACAGCCTAACCAAAATGCTCACTTCCAGCAACATGGTGGTCAGGCACGGAACGATTCGATGTGGTTGTGACTCGTTGGCCAGTGGAAGACAATCAGAACACCACCATAGCATATTATTATCAAATATGCATGAACACAAACGTACAGAGTGTCCACGAAACCAGAACACACGTACACGTGTGAGTAGAACCAAGTGCATGATACCAGTGGGAGACTGGAAACGATGTCAAAACGTGTGGTATGTGAGTGCATGACAGTCTGAGTTGGGCTGACCACGATCAGTGCCAACAAACAGGAATGCATCAGTTACACGTGTCACGTGGAAAGAATGTATCATTCCAACCGACGTTGTTGATGGACATTGGTCCCCTACGGTGTTGCGCCTGGAGAGCACTGGAAGATCATGCAAGACGAAATTCATCCTGCTCAAAACTAACGCGAATTTTGACGGGAACAGAAATTGTCTCCCCAGTGCTTCCCCTCGTATTTATGAGCTCATCAGATTAGATTCACCAGGAGTGGTGTAAATGTCCGTCCTACAGATCTTGCAACTACCTACGACTAACTAAAATCAAACACCAGAAAATCAGGTAGCTCCAGTGAGTGCTCGTGGAGTACAGGCAACACGCTCGTCTTGCTTACTAGATAGCCATATTCGGGTACGTCTAAGGATATGAACGGTTAACGAACTTCAACAAGAGCAAAATTGGAGTTAAGAATTCCCCGTCTTTAATGAATAAAATAACTGGGCTAGGACGGCGGGGATGTTCAAACGAGAAAAAAGACAGACCGCTTCTTACAGACAGTCACAACATGATACCACCCAGATCATCTAGGCAGTGAAGCCCTTAAATGGCGGTACATCCTCATTAGGGATCTATCATAGTCCGCCTTGTGTCGTATCCACATCCTGAATTAAGCGGGGATAAATCGTTCAGCTGTAACATCCTTTCGGTGCCTAACAGCCATGCCACCCAAAGGTTACACGAGGGTTGGGATACTGCCAGGTTGCCCAAGCCTAGACAGGGGAAGTTGAGAGGCCGAGGTCAGGTTCGAACCACGGACATACGGTCAGACCTTATCCAAAAACTTCAGTACATATCCGGTCGGGTTCAATTCATCGATGACGTTTATTAGGGTTCAATTTACACCGCATCAGAACTACATAGTAAGACCCTTCCTTATACGATCAGCAGTCTAATTGCGCAGTTGTATCATGTCTGAAAGTGCCTGTGGTGGAGTGTAAGGATAAATTAATCCGATTCAGTTCGGAGAGCGCTGTAAGTTTCACTGCATACATACCGACATCCTTGTGTCGCTCATACTAAAACTCAACACCAAAGGAAGTAGACCGAAAGTCCAACGGACATGTCCAGGCGATCGAAGGCCGCGCTGCCAAGACAACCACCAACTAAAGACACCAAACGCACAACAGTATGTTACTTAGTGTCGCTGTAATCCATCTCCTCAAAAAAGAAGTCTATTGCTTGATCATTGAAGACAACACCAATGCTAAAAGCCTCCGCAATAGTTGATTGACTTGCTATAACAATACGCCCAGTACAAAGGGCAGGATTCCCCAGGGAAACGAATAATATGTCAATAATGATATATCTGAAGAACAGTGCACTTTGCAAACTGCATCCTATCATCAAAATGGACTTCTATGCGTCGGAGGGAAGCTTCGAAACCTCCATGTTAATGGTTCGAGTAGGAGTCCTATCATTTTGCCAAGGGGGCACCATATTGCGGACTTGCTTATTCAAGAACACCATTATCGAGAGGGCCATCTGAGAGCGTCATACGACACCGGAGTTTTGGGTTCTGAACGAGTGTCCGCGTTCAGGGGGATAGCATCAAAATGCACAGCTTGTCGCACGCGCGCTCGGTCGACGAAACCTTGTATACAAATACTATTACCAGAGGCTGCAGCGAATCAAGGTATCCACCCTTTTACCATCGCAGATGTAGACTACTTTAGACCTCCCATGTGACTGCGAAATCCATGTTAATGGTTCGAGTAGGAGTCCTATCATTTTGCCAACGGGGCACCATATTGCGGACTTGAATAATCAATTCAAGAACACCATCTGAGAGCGTCATACGTGCTCAGCTCGATACAGAAAGAGTTTTGGATTCTTTAAGTGTCCGCGGTGCGGCCACGTGATTGCTAACCTCCCCATACAAACTTGTTGACCCGAACAACTGCCCATGTCCCGTCATCACCATCGGACTGTGTAGCAACTCACTGACGCTACGTATTTTTATATTCTCGTTTGTTTGCAAGTAAAGAGGTTTTTCCTCATTTTTATCCGCCTTGTTATTTTTGGAATCACATTACGCATTGTTTACAAATTGTCTACTGACGTTAATATCGGCTTGGTGACAGTAGCCATTCCGACCGCGCACTTAACCGAATCCGACCACTGCCTCTCGAATTCCCCTGTCTAGGGTCGGGCAACCTGGAAGTATCTCATCCCTCGATCATCCTTCTGGTGACATGGTACTTAGGTACGAAAAGAGTGTTACAGTTGAGCGATTTTTTAGAATTTAGATGGAAGTAGGCCACAATAACGCCAACTGAAATTGATTAGCAGCGTATCTAGTCGTGCACGGGGTGGGGAGGATCATGCAGACGCGATACTGGAAGGATAGTCACACTGAGAGTAGCCAGAATCACTTTATTATTCCTCTGCCGTATCAAAGATTGACTATCACTCTGCTTGCGCCGCTTGGTCAATGTGGCCTCGTAGAGATTTCTGTATACTGAAGACTGACAGCCTCCATAGCGAAGCCATGTATAGATGGTTTGTTTAGATGCAAAGATCAGGTCAGGACTGGCCCAGTCAGAGGCAAGCCAATGATTGGCACTAACGACTTACCAGGGGATGTTGGTGATATTGGCCCGGACAGTCCAGCTGTGTTTACTAGCAATTCCTGTCCCTGCGGTATCGGTTCCAACGAGGAAGGCATTGCATGAACAGTTCCGGGGACGGAGCGGGCTAGCATGTCTACCACAACTCCATTTGTTCCCCGGCATCGACTGCGTATGTTGAGCTTGTTAAAGGAACTGGTCAGTGAGGTGTTCCTTGCCGTTGTTGCTGCTGCGGTTGATGCGGTAACCGGCAGAGTGGGTGATAAGGGTGATGAGAAGGGTTCTCCGATTCGCTGAGCACCGGGACTGCTTTGACGCCTAGAACCGTTGTACTAGATTGAGGAGAGAAAGAGAGAGAGAAGAGTGGCTGAACAATCACAGCGACAATAGGAACCGATTGTTAGAGCAGAAGGGGTCGCTTAATTCAGATGAAAAGAAAAAGGCAGTTTATCTCACGGTGAGGCCAGCAAGAGCTCCGGATCAGAGGGAATGGTCGACTAGTTCGGAATGCCTACGTACATAGTGGAAGATGCAACACAGTTCGCTGATCGAGTGAAGCAAAGCAGAGAGGTATTTCTTGGGTAGAGGAGCAATCCAGGCACTCGTGTACAACTTCAAATAGTCACCTCAATTTATATACAGCGCAATCGCTTTTTCCATGCTTGTTTTTGAAGTTGGTAAAACTGTAAGGCAGACATGCGCGCGCACGTATACATGTGTTGTTTTTCTCTAAACTCTGGCCTACAGTAGAGTATCACAGTGGTGTCCAAGAGCTGGAGAAGTCATTGTGCCGTACCCACGCGTCACGTGACCATAGTGCTGTCTGTCCAAAATCGCGTTTGTTGACGCACTCGGAAACGCCTGGATAGGTATCCACTGACGAAAGCAACACCCAGACATCCAACATACTCAAGCACAACGACGCGAAACCATATCCCTCCACAGAACGCGTCTTCCACGTGATTCGCTTAGAGAGCCGGGAGTCATTCATAAACTGTTGAGACCTAAAATGGGGTGCTTCCCCCCTTTGGTGCGCACCCACCAGAATGATCGCGCCAGAAGAGGATGACGACTGCTGAGACGAGAGTTATGTGAGCGCGCAGTCTACAAATCTCGCAACCGATTACAACTAAATGGATTTCCTGTGGTACCTGGTATAGCTTGGTCTCCACACCACTCACAAGACGAATACAAGGTCAACACACTGGAATGTCCTGAGTGTTACGGATTATTTAAAGGTGCGTATATGAAACAAAAATGAAATTGAGGTCAATTTGACAAAATTCAAATCAGTCCAAACCAATGTGACACAATGCAAACAAAATAAATTTGACATAACTATGAGAATAAGGGAACAACCCAGTAATCCAAAGCCGAGGCATTAGGTAACAAGATACTGAAGTTTCCTATAGGTTTGGGCAGTGCTCTCCCGAGGAGACAAGGAGTATTGTCTACCCCTCATACGTCAGCACCATTGCAGAAGTGTTACAAGGGGTCCACGTTGCATCAAATGAAATCTAACACTTTTACAGGGCCAAGATGCCTCGAAGAAAACACACCACTCCACTGTCACATTTACCAGACATTTGCAACGCCAAACCCCACATCCGTCTAATGTTTTTCGGCTTGGAGTTCTGCGCCAAAGGTAGATACTGGTTGTCCTTAACTTATTCTCATGCGAATTCCCCATCATTCGATGACGATGATTGTTCGATTCACAGCATCATTATAAGACGCTTCAGGGAGCAGAAGGGCATACTGAGAAAGATCCTTCAGTCACGTGATCTACAACACTTTTGCATCTAAGCCGTGGACCTCCCTATAGGCTATTCATTCTCAATCTGTTCACACTGAAGGGGAACAGACAGTGACCAAGATAGGCTTCATCCCCGGGAACGACCTGGCTCCAAACGAACAGAACAGCTTGTGGGAAGAGTCAACTTACCTTAGCAGAGATGGGAATAGGCGAATCCGTAGGCAATGACTGATGTCGGAGATTCCGAATTGGTAGATCTGGGGGAGATCCGTTTGGAAGGGGGTTTGAGCAAAAATGATTATTATTATCGGAAGTCATGAAACCGGTTCGATTGGATTCATCCGCGCGTGGGGTACCAGACCGATCGGAGCAGGCAGGAATATGAATAGCTAAAGTGGATTTGGGGTGAAAAAGGATTGATCAATGCATGGTAGTGATGAAACGAAATTGACCATCTAGTTGACAGCGGTTGAACAAATACGCAGGACTAAAAACTTTCGGGACACTCGAAGCCCCACCGGCCACTGATGCGAGAGCGTGAATGTGTCCACCATAGCAGGTTGATATATCACTTTGCGAATTCGAGTTTCACAAATCCCACCCTAAATCTTCCCGGCTCGCTTGAAACCCTTTTTGGATATGTTCCACACATGCAAATTGCGGATACTGTGTCCGCAGAACCATACCTGATTGACATTCAAAATTAGTCCCAGCGCTTGAGAAAAAACGGAAAGACCATACAAGGCTGACACTCGACCGAACCGGGAAAACAAAAGACCGTTAGGAAGCTCTGCTAACTAAAAAATATACATTACACAGGGACGTACGAGGCACTAAGCGAAAAGATGAGTCTACAGTCAGGTGAGTTTTGACCCATTGGTTGAACAAATTGATTTGCATCGATCGACACGAGGCCAGACAGGACCATGTGGTCCTTGAACGAAAAATGGGAGCGGCAAGAAAAGGAGGGCCTTCACAGAATTGGATGCTTGCACGGATTCTCACTCAGCATATCCAGTTTCTGTTGCAAGAAAAAAACTGCCAGCAGGATCATTTTCTCTGCATTTGCTTGCATTCAAAAAGAGGCAGCAACACGAAATGGTGTTCATGTGTTAGATTGATCATCATCATCATCATTGACAGCATGACATCAGTGTTCAACACCGATGCTTCATTGCCGTACAACCATGACTTATTTGAAAGCCTTATTGTAAAGAAAAGAATAAAGGTGGACGGGGAAGGGACTTAGTGCTAGCTTAACACAATCATTCCGAGGTGC